ACCCTAGTAGCGATGGCCTCTACCCTTATAGCGATGGCCTCCAGCGATGGCCTCTAACCTAATAGCGATGGCCTTCACCCCAATAGCGATGGCCTCCACCCTAATAGCGATGGCCTCCACCCTACCTAGAGAACCAAGAACCCTTGAAAATGGCATACCCTGAAAATACATAAAGAAAACAGGAGTTTTGTTGATTTCCTCAAAACGATACGACTGCGTACGGGATTCTACGTGTTTTCTATGGTTTTCTATGGGTTTTCTACGGTTTTTATACGGGTTGGAAACTTAGTGCTTTTAGAAAAACGATGTTTTCGACAGAAACACAATGTGTTTTGTCAAGTGGAGCCAAAAAACACGATGTTTTCCATCAGACACGATGAGACACGTAGCTTTTGGGTTCGGTAGCGAATGGCCTCCACCCTAGTATAGCTCTGTGATCTTCTGTCTCGGTCCTTGCCGGTCTCTCGCAGTCTCTCCACTTCAGGTCCTTGATTTGGTTGATCTCCCAGAGTTTGTCCAAGTTCACGCGGACCTTGAAGTTGTAGATGGGGGTCCCAACCTGAAAGGAAAATAAGAAAGCCAGAGCAAGTGAGTATGAACGAAGATCTAAGTCCATAGACATCAACGAAAGACGTCAGACTTAGACGCAATGTCCACCTCTTCTTCGTCGTCTTGAGAAAGACGCCGGTAGATCTCCATGGCACGGCATGGCAACGTGCCAAGAACAACTAGTAGCTTCTTGCTCCTAGTAGCGATGCCAGGAGCCCGGAGTAGCTTCTTGTTCCTAGTAGTAAGGCCAGGAGCCCCTAGTAGCGTCCTTGCTCCCAGTTGTGATGCCCTTTGCTCCTAGTAGCATTTAGCCTCGATTGAATCGTTTCTTTCTGCTCGTGCGCAGGCTCATCTGTTCGTGCACAAGCTCTTGATCCATGGTCAACTGCAGCACTGCAATCGTGGAAACTCATAACCCCACAAAGTTGTTTCGTGTGAAAGCTGTTTCTGCAATCAATCCAGAAGCTGATTGGACGGTGCACTTTCAGCTGCTTTGGCGAGTTGGAGTGCTGAAAATGCTCGGAATTCTCCTTCGGAGAGTGAGCTTTCACTTTGCGCTGCAAAGCAAAGACCTAGAACCAGGAAAAGAGATGTCTGCGGCCACGTACTCGTTAGGGCTTACCTGGCTCACCCTGGCTTTAAAACAATCGGAAGATGATGCGAGTTTTGCAGCTTTGGCCTTTGGTGAACGAAATCATTCGATATCTTCAATCTGATTCCTCAAGCACCTCGGAGCACCTCACAGGACACACCTGGACACACCTGGGTTCCTGCTGTTCCTGCTCCGAGTCGTCAGCTCGTCATCCAAAGTCTTGGCGCCGTTCACGCGGGGCTGAAGGTGGAGGATTTCGTCCGTCCGACCTTGTTTCAGGTCACGCGAACACAACGCATCAAACAGTGCTAGTAGTAACAAGTGCCACGCTAGTAGTAACAGGTGCCACGCTAGTAGTAACAGGTGCCTTACTAGTAGTAACAAAGAAGCTAATAGAAACAAGTGCCACGCTAGTAGTAACACAACAATGCATCAAACAGTGGAGCACAACACAGCAACAACACGTGCAATGTCTTGGTCTGCACAACACAGCGACAACTCCAGTTTCTCTCTCTCTCTAGCTACCGACCTATCTATCTATCTATCTATCTATCTAATCTAATCTAATCTAATCTAAACTAATCTAAACTAATCTAATCTAAACTAAACTAAACTAAACTATCTATCTGAATCTATCTATGTATCTACGTGCATCTCTCTTTCGTTTGGCGACAATTGCCACTTTTTTCATTGACGAGCTGCCTTACTGACAGGTCCCTTGACCTGAAGAACCTAACTGTTTTGGCGCAAAAATCACAACCCACAGGTGTGTCAGGCTCTGACCTTCCCAAGAGCATCGCCACAAAACCACTATGAAATGGACAACTACACCACGAGAACCAGCCTGGCAAAACATGACTGTGTATTGTTCCGCGGCGTCCTTAGAAGTCTTCTTTCGAAGTGTTGTTGAATCGGTAAAACATCTAGCAGCTAGCCCTAGCCTATAGCAAACACACTGCGCTGCTGGCTGTGCCGAATCCATTTTGCGCAAAAGGGTTCATCACACTGGCAGTCTTGAATATGTTCAGTTGGAAAAACATGTTGGTAGTTCAAAGCGTTCTTGTAAGGAGCAAGACTAAGTTCTCCTAAGGCATGCATTGCATGGTAGAAAGGGGTGCCTAGGACATATATGTTTACGTGTCGTGGCTGTGGCATCGCAAATCTGCCAGCTCTGGAGTGAGTGCACTTCCTATGGTTCTTTGCGCAGCCGCGCGTTGTCCTGGTGGGAAAGCATTGTAGTTTTGCAACTGCATGGCGTTCGTGTTGAAAAAGGCACCCAATTTTGCAATTGCTACACATTCCGCAGAGATGTGGAAGACTCAACTTCGCAATCCTAGCCCGGGCAGTGCAACAAAAAGGGAATCACCTGCTAAGCCCTTGCCTGATGACTTGCCTACGCCGCCATGTATCCTTGGGTCCTTGGGTTTTTACTTCGGCTAGAGCCCTACGGATGCATCGAGTCGTCCGCCATGGCCGGAGGTCGGCTGAGGCCTCTTGCTGTGGCTGGCAGTGTGTCTTGTGGTTACGGAGCAGTACAACGGTAAATAAAACGGTAAAGCCCGAGGTGGCAGAAGCGAGGAGCAAAACGGCCAAACTGAAAAGCAGTAGATTGACGAAACTTAGCGAAACTCATGGAGTGAGGAGACTTTTCTCACATGACAATGGGAAAAAAACAATGCGAGCCAATCTTGATTTGACCGCAGAGCCAAAGCTGTTCAAAGCAAGAGTCTATCTGTAATTGATTAAGATCTAAAAATCCGCATCTTCTCTTCGAGAAGGTGCAGAGACTTCATCAAGTTGTAGGCTTGACAATGCGTAGGGCCTGAATCCGAGTCTAGCAAAGCTGAAAACACATGGATTGAGTGATGCACGGGTGCATTTTGGTGCTCTACTGCTGTTCTTTGCGAAACCACGTGTGGACTGTTTCCTTGTTTGTAGCGTTTGGCACACAGGCTTGATTACATAGGAAATGTACAGCGCATGCTGCTCTGTTGTGTTTGCTGGCTGATATCCGTCTCTGCTGCTTTTGATGCGCTCTAGGACACCACAGCGCGCCGTAAAAGAGTAAAAATAGAAAGCGTAAAAATTGCCCAATGTACCGATTTACCGATTTCTGATTTTACCGAATTTCCGATGTGACCTCTCCATTTTTGCACAGGACGACACCTTCGGCTATGAGATGGCTGTGGACCAGCTGCAGGAGGCCTTTTCTGCACTATGTGCTGATGGCGGTGCTGTTCGGCCCTCTTGGGTCTTGCAACCCTGAGATCGGTGCTTTCAAACTGTCCGTATGGGCAAAGGCTGCTCTTCACGATTGCGCTGTGGTTGCGCAGCTGCGCGGCTTTGAGGCGTTGCATAGGGAGGTTCTGAAAGGGGCGGCCAATTCTGATGCCCCATTGCCTTGCCTAAGGCAGTGCATTTTTAAAACACGCCTCAATGCCCCTTCTGTTCCCTTGCGCTTAGTCAGGGGATTCCGCTTTTGACTTTGTCTGCTAGGTTGCAAGTTCGCTACAAGCTCAATAGCTCATGACAGGAATTTGACAAAATTTTAGCCCTTGCTTAACTAAGTAGGCGCCTGCAAAACTAAGTAATGGAGAAATAAGCTCCTAACAATAGGAAGCTCCTAGTAACTGGACGGGAAGCGCTCGCAATGATGTTCCTGGATGTTTAGAGAAACCTGGAAACTTTCAAAGGAAAAGAGTGAAAACTCAGAACATCGAAGCGAAATTTCAGAATTTGCCTTCGCTTCAACCTTCCGCTTGCGAGACTTCCTGAGCCCTTCACGATCTACTCCTTGTCAGAGAGATATCGAACTGGTGTTGGTGCCCTAGCCGACCTGACCAGTGCCGGGGCAGTCGACGGTGCCTGTTCTTTCCGGTTTCTGTCGACCTATCGACAATTGTGTGTTGAAGGGAACAAAATACTTTCTATAATGTCTTTGGATGTCTTTGATCTTCATTGGGAAAAAATTGCTTCTCGAGTTGCTTCTTTCACCCTTTCATCTGAGACATCTCATTTCTGGGAATGGGCCTCGCGTTCAGCTTGTCCACCACGGCTTGCAAGCCACTCATCACGTCATCAGCCTTCAATGCCTTGCCATGCACCTGGAAGTGGACAATCGAAGGGGCACATTAAAAGGATGAGAAAACGAAAATGAAAAAACACGATAAGACAATAAGTAAAAGAGTACTGGGTTGGAGGCCATCGCTACTAGGGTGGAGGCCACCACTACTAGGGTGGAGGCCATCGCTACTAGGGTGGAGGCCATCGCTACTAGGGTGGAGGCCAAATCTACTAGGGTGGAGGCCAATCCTACTAGGGTGGAGGCCATCGCTACTAGGGTGGAGGCCAATCCTACTAGGGTAGAGGCCCATTCAAATGTTTTTGAATGCAATGAAGTGCCGAGCCATCAAAAGATGCAAAATGAGATGGCAAAAGCACGACGTAACATCGACTGGGCCGCCTTGACTTCATCCAAAGACATCACTGCGATGCCGCTCGTTCGCTTGGGCAGCCGAGAGCCCTCAGGTTGCGACGTCTGTAGAACACACTGGTGTTTGCGCACGCGAAAAAGCTCCTAGTAGCACCCTTGGTCCTGGTAGCGATGCCCTTTGCTCCTAGTAGTGTCTTCTAGGAGTTTTTTGTTCCTCTTCTTTTCACGTCCTTTTACTATCTGTTGCTCTGATTCTTGTTCAATAACGCAATGCCAGCTACAAGTCACGCTGCGACACTGCAGACAAGGCCAAGGACGGAACCGGACAAATGCTCGTTGGGTAAGGAATTTGAAGAAACTCCACTTGCTCCAGGCCATGGTCCCTCAGAAGTGGATGAATAGCCTGCCACTCAATCGCGCAAGCCCAAAATTCCACAATAGCACGTCCAAAACGTTATGCTTCGAGCCTCATCTGGAAAGCTGAGATCTGCTGCAAGAATGGTGTTCATCTTCCCCTTTGCCACACGTGCCAAACAGCTTGCGAACTCTCTCCGCGCAGGTCCATAGGCGTTGTTTGGCAAGTGCCTGGCAATGCGCGCCCGCAAACTTGAACACACCAAGCCAAGAGAGGAAAGAAAAGAAAGAAAGAAAGAAAAGGAATCCGGAAGGAGCTAAGGAAGAACGCAAAGAATAAAGAATATATATATATATATACGTTCCTCGAGCTGCCAAGCTACGTGGTGACGATGCGGAAGCCTACGTTACCTGGAAGTTCAAAGCAAGATTCTATCACAGCCTCGCACCAGGCAAAGGTCACAGCAAAATACACCCAACATGAAAGACAGCAAGGTTCTTTTCTATTACAATCGTTATTAGGTTGGAGGCCATCGCTATTGGTCTTTTCTATTGCAATCGTTGTTAGGCTCCCGTGTCTGCTCACCTTCTTTGGATTGCTCTTGTACGCAAAATCCTTGCAATGGACCACGAACTTGGTCAGTGCTATGATGTAGGCGTTGTAAATAATCACCTGATATGACGCGGACAGCCCGATAGCCTTCGTGGAACGGTTACGTCAAAGACCTATAATAGAATCGCTCTTGCCCAAGTGGTCAATGCGTCGTTTCGAACATGTTTACTAGCTTAGTCACAGTCTTACTAGAGGCCACAAAGCAATCCACAAAAGTCTCCGATCACAAGTTGCATCACGCTGCCACAAGTTGTGTCACAGTTGCACTGGCACAACAAAACACTCGGCTTGAAACAAAGAGGAATGTCTCAACTTCGGTGTCAATGCAGCTTGAAAAACTGTAAGATACTTGCTCTAGCAGGGCCAAATAGGGGAAGCTTTGCAAAACTAATTCACACGAGATTTGCGGTACTTTCACTCGAAATCTCAACTGTGGCTCCAGAACTCTTCCTGTTCCGCACTCAGTTCTACAAACCTCGACAGGTTCTTTTATGTTCTTTTTCTCCACCTTGCCCTGCCAATACGTTTCGAAACCTGCATCTGCAGTCCCTGTACTGTGCTACCGAACAAACATATGATATATTATAAGATTAACAAGCGTGAAGGTAAGACCCCCTACATCTCTAGGTTCTTTTAAGCCCACTCTTACTAGAAAGGCGGCTATTTAATTAGGTAGCTACTAAGTAGCTATTCATTTGGTTCCTAGATTTGGGGAAAACTTGGCATCTTACATCTACACGCTGAAGAAGTTCCCTGTTCCTTTTCGGTATTCAAAACGAAAGAAATGTGCGGGTGAAGCACAAGAACGCTGATGCCCCGCCTCTCCAGCTCCCTCTTTGGAAAGCATCTTGAACGGACTCGGAAGATTCGATCTGAGATCCTCTAAGAAGCCATGATCACACTCCTGTCGTAGGTGCACGATCAACCAGGCCAAACAAAAGCAAAAAAACTATCCAAAACAACAAGAGTGTCCCTGACTTGCAAAAGTGTCTCTGTGAGCTATGGCGACCCACTGACCTAGTGGAAACTCAGACTCGCTGGTTTTTTCGATTGGAATAACTAGCGCAGCAATCCCTACTGAACTGCAGAGCATCGGTCCGTTTTGCTCAAGAAATATGACAAACACCAAGTGAAGTCCTACAGGAAGAAAAGAAGAGACGAGATGAAAAAGAAAGGTAGCCGATTTGTAATCCTGACCTTTCCTAGGCCTTGGCCTAGGCCTGATCTCTTTTTTCCTTTCGAACTTCGCAAATCGGCTCTCAACATCGCCGCTTGTACGACCATCTACGCACTGTACGCGTGACTCCCTGTACTTGTCCATCGACTCGTTTTTTGGCGTGTTCCCGTCCTGGAGACAAAGAATATGAATCTCTGAGTGATGCAAGAGCTCTTTCACCTCCTTGATCGCCAGCACCTCATCCTTTGAACTCGCATCACTTTTGTGGCTAATGTTCCAAGAAGCAATGTTGAAGGACGACAAATGCTCTTTACCCTTGGAGAAGTGAAGCCTTGCTCCAATTGGAAGGTGGTCAGACGCGAAGTCCCAGTCATTCCGCGGCTGTGCCAACGGTGGAAACAATGACATTTTGTTAAAGATCACAGCTTCCACGCAGCAAGTGAGCAAAGTCTGCGCCCTTCCCAACAAGTGCATTGTTACGGGGACGTCCATCGCTCCCTGAACTGAAGTTGGAAGCCGATTTAAATGCTTCAGTGCCTCCATGAGGCTTTGCGCTCCTTCGCCGGCCTCCTCAATTGAGCTTCCTCCCCCAGGAACATGATGCACATGCTCACACTTCTTCTGAAGCTCCTCCAGCAAGGAGTTCATTGCTTGACCTGAAAGGCCGGAAAGGATCTCTGTGATGTCTGTGCTTATCTAAGCAATGGTGGCCTTAAGAATCGTAAGCTTGTTACAATTGAAAAGACACAAATTTGTGTGACCCCATTCGTTTATTATCTGTTTATATATCGTATTTAAAACAAGATGGAGCCCACGAACCCGAATGCAAACACGTTCAAAAAGCTACATATGTCCAAATGACACTCTTGTAGGACACTCTTGTGGGACACTCTTGTGGGTCACTCTTGTAGGAAACTCTTGTGGGACACTCTTACGGGACACTCTTGTGGGACACTCTTGTGGGACACTCTTGTGGGACACTCTTGTAGGACACTCTTGTGGGACACTCCTGTGGGACACTCATTTGGGACACTCTTGTGGGACACTCTTGCAGGACACTCTTGTGGGACACTCTTGTGGGACACTCTGGACACTCTTGTAGGAAACTCTTGCGGGACACTCTTGTAGGACACTC